CTTGAAATACAAAGTCAGTTACTTAATAAAAATCCTCATTCCAAATAGTATCTAATACAATAATGCCATCTTAAAACACCTATTTTTGTACTACTCTAATTAAAAGCTACTATTCTAGCAGCTTGAAATACAAAGTCAGTTACTTAATAAAAATCCTCATTCCAAATAGTATCTAATACAATCATGCCATCTTAAAACACCTATTTTTGTACTACTCTAATTAAAAGCTACTATTCTAGCATTTTTTTTTTTTATTAGACAGTTCCACAAGCTATTTTATTCCCTCTGTTGTATTTCTGGACACTCTAGCAGTCTGTGGTGCACACACGTATCGGTGAGTGAAGCAAAGGTTAAGCATATATGACAAAGATGAGCTCCGAGATTAAGTATACACTGTGAAATGCATGTGGATGTTCATGATTTAAACCAATGAACTGTGGCCTGAAATGATGTCACACAAAGCGCAGCAGTAAGTGGAAGGTTAAACCTACTTGCATCTCGGCTCATTAAACGCAGTTAAAGTGCAAATCCCCTCATTCTGACAGTAGTGATCACAAGGGTTCTCTTTCTGGTCACAGCGCTGACTTTTAAACCCCACAGAGCATCTGCAGAATTTCAGTAAAATACAGCTAAATAAAGCGTCTGACTTTTTTTTTTTTGCCAAATATGTTTCAAATTTATTTTATACAGAGATAGTAACATAAATGAAAAAATTCTTAGGTACGCTCACTTCTCTCTCATACACACTCATCACACGCTACTCTGACAAGGTGGGGAACGGGATGCAGACGTGGATTATACATGGGTGTCATCCTTCTGGTCAAACAGTGATAAAACAAAACTCAAAAAGTGACCACATAAGCTGATGGTTTTACTTCAAGTTACCCACTCTGGACAATCAGATTATTGAGAGAGGAAAATATTAAATTCCAGATTTTCGTAGGAGCACTAAGAATATCCAATACTTTTCCAAGATGTTCAGAAACCCAGACTTGAGTTAATGTATTCCAAAGGAGCCAGGGGCTTAAAAGGTTTACATAATACAACACTCTAAGCCTGATACAAACATCAAATAGCATTATACATTTGAAAATATATTACAAGTTCTTTTGAAGAGAATGGCCTTAAGTACCAAAGGATTCATAAAAGATGATTATCTCTGGGCTTCACATATCTGAATAAGTTCAATAAAATGAGAACAATTTTCGCTGGCATTTGGCATTTCCAAGTTCAAAGATCTATGGATGTCTGAGACGGTATGATGCTAAGAACTAAATGAGCTCTTCCTCATGAAATAATTTGCAAATTGATGAAGGAGATTCTGTAGCACATGATCCAATGAGCACATACTTGACCAGAGATGTTCATGAAACACTCATTTAAAATGTGTTACCCCATTAAAAAGACCAATAAAACAGGAATTACATGTGCACACAAAGCCCTATTATCAAATGCCCACAAGGTTATAAAATACTCACAGACACACAGGTACATTTGTCTCAGGGTCCAGCTGGCACGTGCCACCATTGTAACAATAGCCATCACATAACTGACAGCTAGAGGCAATCTTTCCATTAGTGCAGCTGCAGCAACAAAGAAAAGAACAATTCCATTGTTACCTGCATTATTATTGTTGAAAGCTGACACAAACCCTCTGCATATGAGAATATTCATCATATAGGAGGTAATGGAGTGGCTGCTAAAAGTAAGTTTGCAGAAAGACAGACTGGTTGGAGGCAAAAGCTTTTATTTATTTCTCATCAGAATGATAACATAAAATTTTTCTTTTGGTAATTTTCAAATTGTCAACCCATTCGCTTGATATAATAACTTAATATAGCTAGATATATGTGTGAAAAAACATACTCTCATGTCTATCACTTACACTTCAGGGAGACATTAACATCAGTATCTTATTTCTTTTTCATGTAACTAGGGTTTGGTGACATCTCTGTGAATTATAAAACTATGATCAAATATTACGGAAGAAAATATTTCAGCTTTTCCTTCCAAACTGGTAAATCTGGTCCAAAAAAATGTTTGGAGTTTTAGATCCCACATTTTATAATAAAGTGCAGGGTTATCCTATAGACATTTTTATCCCACTGTTTCTCTTTGAATATGTATTGTAATTAATGTCAAACTTTTTATTTTAACAGAAAAAAAAACATGGAGCAGTTCACTGAAAAAAATAAATGGTAATGTTATAGGATCAATGTGAAATATGGCAACAAAGTAATGAGGCGGCTTTCTTAAAAAACTTACCAAAATGATTTTAATTTACAGTCACATTGCATGTCTGGGATAAGAATAAATACTCTGGCTATTGCTACACTAGAAAAATGAACATAATAAAAATGGGAAAAATATGAAAATTTTTTACTTGCTCTGTTACATTTTTAAATAAACAAACAATTGGATTGGACAGTGAAAAATGTTAGGGGGTGTGAAGAAAAGTTCATCAACATTTCAAATTATTGAGGGACCTCCTCTTTAGGAAGTGTGGAAACAGAACCATACAGCCTTGGTGTGAATATCAGATTTACAATAGGTTACGCTGGTAATTCTGGTTATGAGATCATGTTGGTATTAGGTGCTATGAAGCAATCTATTGTATCACAATAAACCTGCACATAACTTTGACAAAGATATCAGGCTGCAATATCCTTGACTGATCATTTTGATCTCCATGATGGATGTCTATTGCAGTGCATCCATCAAAGGGTAATTCCCAATGGCAGGTAAGATGCTGAAAATAATTGGTTAGCAATCCTGTAGTTCATTTATTCTGTGCATATTTATTTGACCTCATGTGTGTTGTGTGGCTGCTGGAAACTCACTGAGCTGCTTCTAACATTCAGAGGAGTTTAATTTTGAGATGTTTCTGAAGAGTCTGCATTTTAAAATCACGTTTCTTTTTAAGATGTATGGGAGCACTGAGTTTACTATAAATGAGATGTTAAACAGAGATATGTGAAAATGCAAGCAGACATGAGGAAGGGGAGGGTGGTCTAAAGTTTCTAAGATTGAACAAAGAGAACCCCATTCTTTATAACCTATCTAGGCATCCTATTGCATATATTTGCATATATTGCATATATTAAATGCAAAGTGAGTCAAGTACACAGTCAGTGGTGTTGGTTTCTTGTATGTTAAATGGGTCTAAGGGATTTTTTCTTGCCCCCCTGCCCAGCCTCTTTGAAAATCAAAAGAGCAAAAAGTTATAGTTTCTTGTTCTATCAGAGAGACAACGTCAAAGGGGAAAATTAGTTCATTATACATTAAAGGATTTTCTACAAAAAAGATAACAGTGTACCAAACCTCATCATCTAAAAGAGAAAAAAAAATCTAATTGGTTGCCTTTAAACTTCTGCTTTCAACAGTTATAAAAGATGTTGCTTGCTTCTTTTTCCTTCTAAAGGTTTTGTATGAATCCTAAATTGAAGACAGAAGTTTGTAGATATTTTAAATGTGAAATACAAATTATCTAAATCATTGTAATGCATCAAAGAGTACAGCTTGTACTTTAATGTAAGTTTTCATAATAATTTCTTTTTTTAGAGGCACTCATGACACACACACACATACACACACACACGTGCATATGTACACACACACAGTCCATGATATATCACTTCCCAAAGTTAATTGCTAATTATCCAGTACACACAAAGAATTCCCGTGACAATTCATATCAGAAGGGTATTATTTAAGCTACTTAAGATTATGATCAAGTCTCTCTTCACCAATATTTACTTTCCAGAAGAGAGAAAAATATGTAATTAGCTCTGTTTTAAAAACTAAACTCATTATACTTGACAGAGTACCTATTCTAGTTGACAGTTCATAGGCTATGTATTAGAAACACAACTGCCTATTTGTAAGAACAAGTATAAATTGTGGCTTGAATTTTCCTATTAAGTAAAAAATATTCACTTTAACTCTGTTGTGATTTATTTTAGTATCTATTCTTTACGTATGAGAGAAATTCCAAAACCACTGTAAATTTTATTTTAAGGCTGAGTTGAAAAGTATCACAGAAATAAAAACAAACTTTAATCACCGAATATGTTTCAGAATATCCAAAGAATTCTGTTTGTGTTGTCATTGTCATGTTCAAATGTTACATAGCCTATCTAAGTCAAATATTATTATACTACTATTTTTAAAGTTCCACCATCTACTCATTGTTAGCAATTGTTATTTATCAATCTTACATATACATCTTTAAAAAAAGATCTATTAAAAGACAAGAACTGTATTGTTGGATCTGTAGAGCCTGCTCAAATTATAAGGTTCTGGTGTTTCTAGATTTTCCCTGCACAGCAGGCAGTACTGAGGGACCGTAAGAGTCCTGTCTTTCCTTCCTTACATGAAACTTCCTTATATAATTGGAACAGGGTGCATGCCTCTGCATGAGCTTTTCCAAGGTAAAATGGGGATGAAACTTTGGTTTACAGCCCTTCTTAGATGATAACTCGTGATTCCCTGGGCAAGTAGAAATAAGGTTTTAAAGAAGATTCTAAAGTTCATTCTGATATGGTGCCCTGGACATGAAGAAAAATGTATGCCCACTAATTGAAATAAAGTTCCTTCATATTATAGTTTCATCACAAAGACTGATGAGCTTAATGAGTAAACATGGTTTTGGTAGTTCATATGAAATGCGTTTCGCTTTAATGTACTTACCAAAGGAACATATTAGTCATATTTTCAATTACTGAAAAAATAATATGCTTTCAAATGATCCAGTTTTCAGGTTTGAGCAAATGTCATTCATAATCATAACACAAATCATATTTAAAGTAAATTGTAAAGTGAGAGTAAATAAAAAAGGAAAAATGTTGATGCTTTCTGCAGTAAAATTTTATTGGGCGTTGTCTGACAGAAAAACATAACTCATCTGGCACCCTCAGAGAACATTCAGTGGAAGCCGGGGCACGAACACTTTATGGCATGCTTTTCTATCTCATGTTGTCATTTATTATACTCCCAAGCAAGGCAAGTGATAGAGTCCAGTCCTTTATAAGCCCTTTTTTTAAAAGGCTGCTAAAAGAAGTTTGGAGGGAGGATTGATCTCTAACCTCAGTGGCACAAACTTGTTTCACAATAGTACTACTATCATGCAGTACATGCCACATGGCATTTTGCTTTAGCTGAGATGTTCTGTTTTCCATTCACTTAATCTTAAAGTCAGAGGGCAAAGGCAAGGTATCGGAAGTCTAATGTGGACATTTTTGCTGTAGTTGCTTCCCAGAACACATTATTCCTTCTATTTATTTTGGACTATAATGTTTCAAAGTCAGATAAAGAAAAAAGATTACTGTTTATTTCCACTAGACAGGTCTTTTGCTCCCCCCTCAAAAGATCAATTTGCAACAATAGAAAAGTAAAAATGCTGATTGTCAATAATAATGATAAGACAATTAAAAGCCTGAGCTATTCTAATTGAACAATATTGTGCATTGCTTTTTGAAAGTATGTTGTATTTCACTATTTCTGATTACTCTTGAATATTCTATATAGGAAAAGATCTGACCATGTCATTACATGATGGGTTTTCATGTTCCCCAGATATTCATAACAAGTGGTGAATAAGTTTGGGTTTAATTGAAATGAATTGAACTTCATCTTTAGCCCTAAATAAAATGCAATAGTCACCATACAGAATTTAAGATTAAAAATAGTTAACATCATTCTCACAGTCTATTGCTTAACTGCAATATCCTTTGGGTTTCAAATGCTTTTATTAATTAGGCTAAATGTCCACTTACTTGCAAAATATATCTTCACTGTCTTTGTTTATAATGCAGTGCCCCCCATGGCACCTTACACATTTGTCAACCTCACATTTTGGTCCTTCGTAGCGTATTGGACATACACATTCAACACTTCCATCATCTCCAATGGTACATGATTCAGAATTCACACAATAGTGGTGACACACATCTAGAAAGAACGCACAGCAGAAAAATGAAATTATAAGATGTTTTTCTTCAGTTACAATAAATGTTAACATTTCATTTAATATTTAAAAGTGGTTGATCAACATGTAGATTAATTTACAAAAGCAGCTTGTGATTACATGAAAATACAATTCTCTAATAATGCTATTGAATCCCGTTTTTTTTTTTTTTTTTGCCTGAGTTATGCATCTTCTCATCTGGCTAAAAGGGAAGCATTGTATCAATACAATGCTAGCTGAAAATTATTTTTGGTTCTTAATTTCAAAGCTTAAGTAAACAAGTTTCTAAGCTTTCCTTCCAATGAAAAATATAAATATAATTTGAAATGAGCAAAAATTCTCAATATTTCTCAAGATGTCATTCATCGTTGCTCCTCTGCACACTTGTTTACATGCAGAGAACAGTGTAATGTGTGGTGAGTTGAGGATTTTTACCTCTGCACCAGTCCTTGGTGCTGTGCACAGGGGCCAGAACAAGCCCAGGTATGTTCTAAATGCCTAGCAGATGAGCAAACCATGAGGTATGCCTCTCATGGAACTTCGAGAACAAAGCACACGGGAAACTAGCTGATCCATCATGGGTGGGTAGTGAAAGAAATCTAGGTATCATTCTCCTCCAAGGTAAGAGATTCCCATCAGTCACTGGGGAAACCTCCATGTAATATGAATCCCTTGCTTGGAAAGACTTTTTTTTTTTCAACTACAAAGAAGACTTCCTCCAAATATTTCTATACCTCTTGAACATGCATAAAACAAAGTCCATTTAATAATAAAATAAACACTCTAACTTTAGAATTAGACCTCCTACTTCAGCTTTTTGAAATGAAGCCAGGTCTATATGTGTGTTTATATATAAATATATTATAATTTACCACACTTAAAATATTGAAATTCATAATACAAATAGTCTTAAGCAAAATAATTGA